CTAAAATGAAAGAGGCATAATTTATGTTTATTTCCTAAATTTTTATGGTGGTTGCAAGATCATTCAAATTTACCGAACCCATACAGAGATTAATTACTGAAAATAACAGATAAAATATCAAGTTTTTCTTAAGACATGTTTGATAACTATCCGGACATTATAAAGATTTTGCATGCAAAATTTCAAATTTTCTGATGCATAAAAGTATTTTCAAACTTAAAATGAAAATTACTTTGCACGATACATTGGCAAGATGCATGAGAGAAACACTGCTTTACAAATTTTAAGACTTGATAAAAAAAATTAGATATTTTGCATATGAAAGCATTGTAATATTTACTGATAAACTGTCAAATTTCATTAATGTACGCTTACTAATTTAAAAGTTACAGCATGAAAACTATAACAAGCACAAAATGGTTATGAGATTGGTCCCAGGGACTGAGCCCCAGTTGAAAGAGTTAATCTAAGCCTATCATTCAGCCTTAGTAACCTACTCATAATTTCATTCCCAGAGTGAAGTCTTGGCAGTATCCCTGACAGGATTATGTTATTATGGCTCTTTTCTTTGAATGCCTTGTACTTAACAATAAGTTCCTCTGATGTGCCCTTCCCTACATCATTAGCCCCCTATGTGTATTACAAGGGCTGCATTAAAAATAGACAAGGCTAAAAATACAAAAAAAATAGTATGATGCCCAAAATTAAACAAATTTTACAATAATCCTAGTAATGTGTAAATTATGCTTAATAGAAGTAATTAAGGAAAAACACATGCAATTCATATCTACAAATCACAAACAATGAGTAATGGTGACTATATTGATAAATTCATTAACAGTACCAAGCAATATCACAGGAAATACAAAATAAAATAAAATAAGTTGTACTATGTATATGACCCCCTTTGATATACATAAAGCACTACATGTTGTTTTCATTCCAACACACAGTTCATCAAAGAAAAATTGTGGAATATTATTCCAAATGTTCTGTATTACTCCCTACAGTTCATCCAAATTGTTTGGTCATCTTTTGACCGTCTCACTTTTCACATAAGCCCTTACAGCCTCAAGAATGATCATATCAGGACTTTTCTACATTCCAAACCATGGTTAAAAATGCTTCATCAGCCTCTTTCCATCAAAATATCGTTACACTACATTTGCTTTCTGCATGAGATCATTGTACTGATGAAAGATGAATCCCAGCCCTATAGGTCACGTTTGTAAGGGAATGGCATGTAGATCAAAATTTGCCTTATACTTTTCAGCAATTAGGGTGCCATCAGTTTTGTGTAAATTACCAACACCATTGACAGAGATGTATCCCCAATCTTGTACTAATACTCACCATGCTTCACTGTAGATGTTGTTCATTGATTATGATACCATTCTCTTCTTCATCATTAAACAACATAGCAATGATTGTTGTCAAACAATGCACATTTGGATTCATCTGTAAAGAGCACAAATCTCTAGCTTTACTCATTCCACTGTATTTGTTCCAATGCAAACTTCAGTTTTTCTTTTGATTTGGTTATCTCTTCTAAATATAGATTTTTCAAGCAACTATATATACACCTGGAAAAAAGTTAAGCACCCCCAAATATTTTTCAGGATTGCTTATTGAAAATAAGGTTTAATTTTCATGATGTTGAGCAATGTTCATAATTTCAAAC